ATAATTAAATGAATAAAAAGCCTTAAAGGCTAAAGAGATGTAAAGACTACAACAAATCCTACTTAAAATTAATGTATATATTCTTTTTTTGATGGAGCAACAATTGTATTGCTTTTAAAAACTACAATTGATCCTACTTAATATTAATGTACATATTCTTTTTTAAACTTGACTCTGTTTAAAAATTTTTATTTACACTTTAAATTTTCAAATTGTCAACAAAATTAAACATTAGGCCTAATTAACTGACCTTAAGAATTAAAAAAAGAAGCCTACTAACACTATACATAAAGACAAAAATTTGGACCTATTTTTTATTCTATTTTTTTCCGGGCCTAGGGCGGTCGCCCCTCTTGCCCTCCCCCCAGAACCAGCCCTGCATTTTGTATGGAAAGTCTTCCGCGCGACCAACCCTTTCATCCCACGTTTTCCATTGAACTTGACTATCAATTAATTTGCATCAATGAATGGGCTTTAATTTGTCCGGAATCGGAATACCCGTGCGATATATCTAGAATTAAATAATTACTAATTACTAAATTAAATTGTGTTTTATGATGATACACAATGTGTAATTTTATCAAATTAAAAAAACGATAAAGTTTATGTGTTGTTACTTTTATTAATTATATACGTAGTAGTTGTAATAAAATAAAAATTGGATCATAAAAAAATCCAAGTAAAATTAAAATAAACGATAAAGTGTAACTTATAACTCTACGTGACAATGGAATAACTTAATAGTAAAATTATTAGTGGGCCTCATGAAACTTTTGCTGTATTTATTGCATATATAGTAGGAAAAATTGATTGTAATAATCCCAACTATTGATAGTATGCTCATAATAATCTCAACTACTGATTATTTCAGAATAATCCCAACTTTAGGGACCTTCCGCCAATAATGGTCCGACGTGACCGACTATAAATAAATCCTTATAGTTTCTAAAGAAATATAGCAGGTAATTAATCCCTATAAATAATCCCAAATTTTAATTTTTACGCTTAATTTCTATTAAAATTCACTTGTTATAGCAGATAATATGGGGTCATGGACCATTATTGGAGGACGATCCATATAGTTGAGATTATACAAAAATAATCAATAGTTGGGATTGTTGTAAGCGGACCGGCAATAGTTGAGATTATTATTTTCAATTTTCCTATATAGTATGTGTTGATGTAGAAATCGGTTACCGATAATTCTCTAGCAAATGCATTGGTCAGTGGTTGGTAGCAATGAATACTCTCTCTGTATTCTAAAGATTACTACATATGACTTTGGAACATTATTTAAGGAGGAAAGTAGTATGAGTAATGAATAGTGTAGAAAAAGTAAGAGAGACATTGTTAACGTATGAAAGATAAGATAAAAATATAAAAAGTAAGAGTAATTCAGTACTTTTAATGGAAAACTTACTAAAAAGGAAAATGTAGAAAACTTTTAAATACATTTAAAAAAAAGTGTAACAGACTTTAAAATACGGAGAAGTTATCTATAAAGAAAGTACAACAACAAAAAGTTTCATGAGGCACCAATTGCACTATCAAGTAAATTCATTTTCAGATAGAATCTCATTACAATATTGGATTTCATCTTGTTCTTTTTATAAAATAAAGATAATAAGAAATACTATTGATGATTAATACTTTAATTGTAAACCGATGATTAAATTATAGGAAAATTGCTCAATATAGAAGTAAACATGTTTTGGAATTTCAAAATAGCACTATTTTGCATTGTTTTCTTCCCGAAATATGTATTGTATTGTCATGATTGAAAAATAATGTTATTAATGGCGGTAAATAAAGTCATGTCAATGCTTAATATTGTAACTACTTCGACAGTAATGAGTCAAAGATGATAGTAAATACTCCTATGTCGGAAAGAATAACATAGCAATTTTATTTTGAAACCCAAAACATTTTTATTTCGACTCTCGGAATTTTCTCCCAAATTATATTCCTTTCGTTTCACTCAACTTTGTCAGTTTTTCTTTTTCGTTTGTCTCAAAAACTTTGTAACTTTCGAATAAATTTATGATTCAACTTGTTTCTCTTATTAAAGTTTATCTTCACCCTTTTTTCTTTCACATCATCACTATTAAGGGAGAGAAATTTTGTTGGAAGCGAAAACTCTTTTCTTCCATATTAGGACCCTTACATTCTTTTGGAATGAGCATAATAGATCAACTTATACTTTTCTTGTTCTTATTTTCATGTTAGTTACGAAAGTTAGAATCTAATACTTTTTCTTCCATATGATATTAATTGCTCTTATTATTACTATTACTATAATAATTTGATAAATTTGTATGACTTTAAGAGCCCGTTTGGTAACACTAAAATTGGCTGTATTGGCTGATTCTGCTGAAATTTATGAAGTTCTGGCTGAAGTGGCTGTATTGGTTGATTTTGTTGATTCATGAAAAAATTATATTTAAAATATTTGTTATTAACAAATAAAATAAAAAATTATATGAAAAAATAGCTAAAATGATCCTCTACAGTAACTTGAGCCAATACAGTCAGAAAAATATCTAGTCTAGTCTAGATATAATAAAAGGAAACCAAATCATTATTAAAGCATGAATGATACGTTACTTACGTACGTCATTGCTAAAATTTCTTACCTAGTATAATTAATTACCAAATTTGCTTTTTCATTAACTCCCTATTTTGCCCTTATTTTGGGTGGGATTTTTTCCTCCGATTCTTACTCCAACTTTGTTACTTTATATTATATAAAGATAAAGATTATTATATATATATCAGCACGTTTCGATGAATGTGTTTAACGTGAGAATCGTGAGAACACAACTTTTAACTCAATGTGATATGCAGTAACGTTTATACATTACACTTTTCAAAACATGACAATATCAAATAAGTACGCTGACAATTACGAAAATATTTCGTTAATACGATAAAATATAATTTACAAATGTTATAATGTAACATATTGAGTTAAAAGTGATGTTGTCCTGATTCTCCATCAAACATGATTCTCATTTAGTTGTGAATCCATTTTATAATATACTCCTTCCGTACCGGTTGAAACTTGACATTTGCTTTTGACACGGTATTTTAGGAACTCAATTAATAGAAGAACAAATTAAATTACTTGCATGCCCTTTAACTTTTGGGGGAAATTAATGTTATCCACTCAAATGTAAAAAGTGGGTGAGTGGGGAAGGTTATTTAGGACATTTAATGTATAAGAACTAAGAAGTTGAATAAAAAGAAAACGTAAAAAAGTAATTAATTAGAGCGTTCCAAAAGGAAAAGTGTAAAGATTTAAATGGGACGGAGGGAGTACTATACGAAGTATCTAAAAAGTTACTCCTTATATAATCAGACCATGTCTGGTTGTACACCACATCGTTCATATTCCATTTTGCTTTTTACCTTCCGGATTATTTGTACTTGAACCTACTACTATGCCATTATTTACACTAATTTTGAATTCGATATTTCCATTTACACTTGAACAGTTGAACGTACCTCAATTTTCACTAGAAAATTTACACTTGAACTAAATCTCTTGCATGCCTAACGTAACATACACTATAAAAGTGATCGGAGGAGAAAAAAATCACTTACTAAAAGAATCAAATCGTGACACTTCATCATTCATGTCTTTACCACCGAACCAAACACATTAAAATTGTTAACAAATAAAATCTATTTGCAAAAAATAACCTCATAAATATATACTACGTATTTCTAATCAGTACGTGTGGGCGAGAAAACAATGCAAATTTTATATCGGTTATGCCGAAATTATTTCTACAAAGAGATATAAAAGGACACTCCCGGCCTTTACAATAAGTTTCTTTGATCATTTGACTTTATTAATTTTTAAGAAACTTGAAATTGTGTACTTCCTTCGTCCCACTTTGTAAGATAATTCACGGTTTACGATGTTTGATCAACGATTCTTGTCCGCACTCAAAATATATTTAGGGAAACAAATTACGTATTCAGAAACTATATTAAAAACTTTACAAAGTCGCAAAATTTAGAATCAAATTTGATAAAAAAAAATTGATTTACAAATTAAGAGATTAAGAGCGATTTGTGTTGACCAAGTGAATATAAAACATACTGTACAAATTTGGACGGAGTGAGTATTATATGTACTTTATTTTAAAGAGGGAGAAAAACAATACTGTAGATCTAACAACAAAATTTTGGTTGCCCGAAGCTACGTTAATACTCCGTAATGAATTTTGAACGATAACAATTTTGCCCATGTGCTTGATTGTTTCAATGCAACCAAAAACAGTAAATAAAGCAAAGAGTGAAGAACATCAATCCTAAAAGTTACTCCGTCGCTGTTTTTTCTCCCATTTCGACTGGGCATACTAATTAATATAGTGAGTTATGTGTGATGGAGAGTTGTGCAAAGAAGAGAGAAATGTGTAAAAATGTTTAGGAATGGTTGTGAACCACAAATTCTTTACCAAAAAGGGAAAAATGAGATAATTTTGGGACGCACAGAAAAGGAAAGTTTGAAGATAATTCAGGAACGGGATAAAGCTCAAATTGGACACTATGATTTCATCACAATCTCATATTTGACACTAAGGTTTTAAATGGACCAAATTAGACACTATTGTTTCATATGTATCTCATATTAGACACTAAAGTTTCATAATTCAATATAAGTGAGTATCCAATTTGATCTTTATCCAATATAAGTGAGTGTCAAAAACCTATGAATTATGAAACTTTAGTGTCCAATATGAGATACATATGAAACCATAGTGTCTAATTTGATCCATTTGAAACCTTAGTGTCAAATATGAGATTCTAATGAAATCATAGTGTCCAATTTGAACCTTATCCCTTCAGGGAGGGAGGGAGTACTCTACATATGCATTTTTACACGGATTATCAGTTTTGGATAGTCAAATGAACTCTATAAACATCGAGTCTTTGCCCCATTAATCGATATAATATAATCACTTTTTTCTAAAAAATATTGTGATCATTTTTTTTTATCATCAAAACAGGCCTCTAGTTATATAGGCCTCTATTCATATCAAAAGATTCAGGATCGTTACATCAAGCAAATGGTAAATAAAACTGACACCAACTAAAACTCTAACAATTACGACTGTAACCCTATGGTGAGACTTTGAGACGGTCACCTCCGAAAGAGCAACACGAATCGCTAACCATGTAGTGGGCTTGACACAGCCAAACCTGTTCCCATAGATCCAACCATACCCAATGACATAAAGAGAGGCTAAAAACTCAAACAAATTGTCAAAACCAACAACAAAGATGAACACAAGAAAATAAATGACAAACAGATAAAAATTACTAGGAAAACTTTCACGGACTCTAGCACCTCGTACAACCCATGGTGGTGGTTCAGGCGGAGGTCGGACCGTCGCTCGATTAATACCCCCTTTCAGTGGCGTACCCGCCATATGACCCAAATTCATGTCATCGAATGGAGCGTTCAGCCTCTCCATGCTAACCATGTCCCGATCATCCCTACGTATCTCTCTCGCTTCTTCCACCATCTTCTCGCTGTCACAATCATCCATCCCGAGCTACGTCCAGACCACGATAATCTGGCGCAGAGCTGCGTCGATTGAAAGAAACGTCGCACCAGGGCGGCGAAGTAAAAACCCTTATCGAGAGATCTCGCTAGGGAAACACTGACCGAATTTCGATCAAGAAAGATCGAAATCAGAAATAATCTAGCGGCGGCTATGCCCTAGGAAGAAGTTCGTAATTCGCTAGACTTCGCATAGCATAACACGTTGAACATAGAAAACACCCGAGATGCTAATTTCATGATCAAGTTTATTGAAAAGTCAAAATAATGAAAAGGGATTAATAAAGTGTTATTATAATTCCCAAAATCCCATACTCCGTATTAACATTATTACCAAACTCCGAGATGGGAAGGGAATGAGAAGTGAAAGAAAGAATTCTCCCTGATTTGAGAGTTATAGGTTCGCAAATATAACTAAGGGAGTGTTTGCAATTGCTTCAACTTTAAAAGAGTGATTTTTGAAAGTGATTTTGGGAAAAGTGATTAATAGTAAAAGTTGGTAGTGTTTGAGAAAAAAGTGATTCTGAAAAAGTAAAAGTTGGTAATGTTTGGTAAAATAAGTACTTTTTGTGTAATAGAAAAAGTGAAAAGCAGTTTGAAGCACCCTTCCACCTGCTTCCAGCTTTTAGCTTTTAAGTGATTAATTTAAGCAGAAGCTGTCATTTGAAAACACTTTTTTTTAGCTTTTTTTAAGCCAAAAGCTGAAAAACGCTTTTTTTAAGCAACCGCAAACACTGCTTAAAACATTCAGAGGTATAACATATTCAAGTAGTTGAAACTCTATACATTTTAAATTGAGTTAATTAATTAGTTAATCTTCAAATACCTTCAATTTGTGAGAACTTAGAAAGTGAGCATTAGAACGATTTTGAAATTTCTTAAGAAAGACTCCAAAACCATTATTTTCATTCTTTTAAATTCCGAATAAAAAATAGAGGATCATAAAGCCCTCTCCCTTTTTCCAAATACTCTAAAATCTAGCTCCCGAATATACCCTTAGCATCCGTTTGGTTTAAAATAGGAAAAATATCATACGGAGTATTACATTTTAGATCGAATAGATTAATTAGGTCTGACCGTCTGATGATGAAGTTAGAGTCTGAATTCATTAGTAAAATGCTTGCTACTTAACAGCTTTAATTAATGATTAAGGTTTTTGTGATGATGTGTTAACATTTGACATGAAATAAGATAGACTGGACGATGCGGTATCTATCACATGAAAGGGGCGGGCTTCTATCACATCCGATTGCAATTATTCGCTATGTAGGATATTGAACATAATATTTTGTACAATATATAGATAGACTGGACGATGCGGTATTTTCTATCATATTGTTAGTATCAAATAAATAAACAAATGAAAATATGATAACATGGTTAATTACTACAATAATGAAAATCAATATGATCATCGGATATGAAAATTGATTGCCTTGGACATCATTATCATTTATCACAATGATGAAGTTAATTGTACATATAGACACATAGCTATAGCTATCTATATACAAATTCAACTTTTTGTAAATAGATGATATTTAACCTTAATGAATGCTACAAATACTTTCTGAAGGCATCCTCATTCAATTATCACAACATTATTAGCGGATTAAGACTATGTTTGAGAGACATGTCTCTGTCTTCAATTCTTGCTTTTGTATTATTAAAAAAACCTCTAAAAGCTTCTAGTTATATGTTTGACATGACAATTTTCAAAAGTATTTAAAAAATTAAAAGATCTTTTTTGAGATGCTACATGAGGTAGCATCCGAAAAAAGCCCGTGACTTTTAGGATTAATTAGTCCCAACAGCTTGTATACCAAACCGAACTAAATCAAACAGTCAGTTTTTTTACCAAACAGCAACCACCTTTTTTTAAGATCTTTTTAGTCACTAAAAGCTAACAATTATTAAAAAGCTCACAAAAGTATCTTTTCAGCTAGTTGTGCCAAACGTACCCTAAGTGAAGATGTGATAGATTTTCCAGCGGAGCATGGTTGAGTAAAACGCCGTATATATTATTAAATGAGTTTACTCGTTAGAATAAGGGATTTTTCTTTAAATATGCATGACTAAATTCAAACTAATTTGTAAACAAGTGATTTGTAAACTATTATGTCACTTACGGATTTCAATGCTGTTATGTCATGATATATGTCACGTGACCACCAGAAAATTTTACCCTGACTTTTTTCGATGATTTTTGAAAAAACCAAAAAATGAAAATTAAAATCATAAAAAAATTCAAGTTTAGTGATTGGGAAGGTGTACGGGGAGGGGGTTGGGGCCGAGATTAGATATAAATTACAATGATAAAAAGATGAAATAATTAAACAAAAGGTTAGTCATTGTTTTAGATAGAAAAAGGAAAAGTAATCCGATCTGTCATTTGTATTTCACAAAACTATATATAAGTAATATTTGTGTTCTTAACCCTTAGAATAATTTGAAATCATAATATGAATATAGATTATTTTAAGATTGTTGAGAAAGTATATGTGATATGTGAGTGCAAGATAAAAAAGTAAGATTATTTGAACATGATGGTTGAGAGTCATATAAGAATTTCGAGATTATTAACAACTTAATTATGTGGCAATAAAAACACTAATTTCCGAAGATCATCAATGTAAGCACTCTAGATCATTCTTGCTGATGCTTTGACCGAACCCAACCTGTAAATGACCTCTGTCTAAAAAAATCATTTATATTTTAAAAAATTCATATAATTTTTTGATCAATGATCGATAATCAAGTAGATCCACAATATTGTTTAATACGGAATATGAAATTATATAAAATATGAAAATCACACAAAATATTATCTAAGTGCATGTACTTCCACCAAAATATAAATTTTATAGATCTCAAACAAATCAACTCAATGATTAAAATCCGTTTACGGCCACATTTTTTGGGGACGAATAATGTAACATCTCATATATCACCTCAAATGTTAAATAGAGAATAACGCAAGATGATTGAACCTGTAATGATCTAGGCTATAGAGCGAAAATCATTGAAGATTAAACGTAGGAATTCTAGGGAACAGAATAGAATTCGAACAACACAACTCATAAAGTAAAGAAGGAAAGAAAGGGAGATCATCAATGGAGTTTATTCCTTAGTTCATAACCGATACAAGCAAGTGTTTATATACAATTCGATCTCAGTTACAATCATAACCGACTGGCAACAAACTCTTAACTACCCTCTACAGGTGTGTGCTACTTGGACCCAGATGAGGTCACAGGTGACGTGGCCAATTGATGTGGCAAGAGTAATAACAGAACCTTTCAATTAAACTCAAATATTAACTAATTTCAACCCTCTATATAAGTTTTGGTCATTTTCCATTTGGTCGATGGATTCCTGATCTACAGATTCAAATTCTGTCAGAAGTTAAATGGCTGGTTAGCTTCGACTCTTCGAGTCTTAGACTTCCTAAGACGCCACATGTTTAATTTGGGAATGATTGGTTCTATCCAAGTTATTATCGATCCGAATGAATAGTATTCAGTATTGGATGTTTGAGCTCAAGTTCTCACTTTAAAGGACTTATTAGAGTATCACTATGGTTAGTGTAGTATTAGGAATATTATTGTGGTTTTTGAGTGTTTGGAAAAATGTGTAAAAAATTGCATTAAATGGTAATTTTGGGGCAATATTTTAAGTGAGGTCCACTTCCAATTTGCGTCGGGTCAAAGTGGTTTTGGATTGTCCTTGTTAAGGGCTACAATTCGATATGTGGTACGCTTAAAACAGATAACGGGTGAATGAGAAATTGATTCTCAAAGTTCACTCGTTGAAATGGAAAAACTGGGAAAAAAGATGAGTTTCTAGTGTGATTTATCCCACACCGGAAAACCTAAGGGATTTTGAACCCCTTATAAAGGGAAGCCACTTTTAAGGAGTTAAGATTCTTATGTGGAAATACTCTCTTTGCGCGCAGGGGGTGCGAATCAAATCCCGAAAAGGAGAAGAAAAATCGCGACTTGCCCGGGCGACATGCGGACACGAATGTCATCCAAAAATCTATCTTTTCAACGTTCTGTTCATTTATGTCCAACGTTCAGGTCCATTAAAGGTCACTTAACACTCAACAAATCTGTCCCTATATATAGCTGGCAGGTGTTTTGCAACAACAGACGTTCATACACAGTCTACACGTAGTTTTTGAGCTAAACACACCGCCAGTATTCCGAAAAAAATCCCAAGTGTTCATACTTTGTTCTCGTTCTCCAGAACTTTCATTTGTGTGCTCAAACGATTTTACGATTGTTCGTTAGCCACCATATCCTGGGAAACGGTCGTTGCAACGCTCCTAGCACCGTGGGAGGCGCTGAATACGTTTTAAGGATATCATGCATAGCACGAGCTTTGGCTAAATTCTGCTCCATCTCTTTCTGTTTTTCTTGTAGTCATTTTAATTAATTTTATTAATTAATTTTTCTTTATTTTCCGAAACACACCCAACATTGAGCCTGTTTGGTGACCATGCTTTTCGTTCTATCAGCTTTATTGGCAAACATTTTTATCAAACACCTAACTTTTGGTTTCACGCACTGAGTTGTATAATGATCATAATAAGTAAGGTTAGAATTATTATTTTTGTCTTGATTGTCTCATGTTACTGTAGAAAACTATTTTAACTATTTTCATATAACTTTTTCTCTATTTTACTTATAAATTATGTATGAAATATAATTTTTTTTCATAATTCAGCAAAATCACTCAATTCAATCAGAATCTTATAAATTTTCCGAGAGTCAACATATTGAGGGAGTTTTATTCGCTAAGAATAAGATATGTGATATTGCTAAAAGCTCACAAAAGCAGTTTATTATGCCTTTGATCAGTGATGGCTTCCGAAACTTACAGGTTTAGAGCTTCTTTAATGGACATGTGGATTGTACCCCTTTAAAAATGGACATGTCACTTGTATAGAAAACTCATGGAGCAGAGTCACGCTGTTGGGAGGCTTGCTGAAAGTAGAAGGTCAGGTCGAGGGTGTGAGTTTTTTTCGAATCCAACTCAGCAACGGAGGGTAAACGCACATTCCCATTGAAGTATGTAAATTTGCCATAATAACTATTTATCTAAAGTGGCAATGCATTTTTTAACAATCCATTCTCCCAATAAAGATGCTCTAAAGATGCTCTTATAATGCTTTAAGCCTCTAGCTGCTGATTGCGACTTAGGGAGTGTTTGCAATTGCTTCAACTTTAAAAAAGTGATTTTTTAAAGTGATTTTGTGAAAAGTGATTAATAGTAAAAGTTGGTAGTGTTTGAGAAAAAAGTGATTCTGAAAAAGTAAAAGTTGGTAATGTTTGGTAAAAT